AACTGAGCAATAGAAGTTTCAATGGGAACATCATTGAATCTTATGACAAATGATCCAATTCGATAGGTGAAAATGTAACAAGTTTTAGGGGGGAAACCCCTCACTTCTTGTTTTTGATGTCTTTCTCTTTAAAGAAAATCATAACAAAAGATAAATCATATTTGACTGCATTTCTTTGCATGTCTCCAGTTAAGATGAATGTCAAATTAATCAATACATGATTATTTTCGGAAATTCGGGACTGCGCGCAACTGAGCAATGGAAGTTTCAATGGGAACACTTGTGATGTCCAAGAATTAATCATTCAATTCTTTACTTGATTAAATCTTTTGGGGTATTTTATTCAATTTTTTAGCCACGTGAAATTTACCATAAGTATAAATATATTACAAATAAAGTTAAAATTGAAAATGAACGTAAAAGTGCAGAGCAAAGCACTTCGACCATCGACCTCAGAACACCTGCATGACGGACGTCACGAAATTTGCCTGACAACACTCAAAAGTGCTGAAAAGACAGATCGACTCCACGATCCTAACAACTTCAAAAATTCACATATTATATTTAGTCTATAAACACCTGTGGAGTTGTAGTTATCTCGGTGGAGTCTTTAACGTGGAATCGATCTGTCTCTTCCATCCTCTCAGTGATAATTCGCATGAGAGTCGATATTACGCGTAGTGACTGATTGAATAATAGTAAACTGGTGATTAGATTGAAGTGTATAGCGATCTGAAGTCCTTTAATCGAAATTAGCGTTAGCTCTTGCATTTTAAGAAATAAATTATAATTACGCGAGTGTGGACATTCTCAAAATTAAAAACTTTAAACAAAAACAATTAAATTAAACTTCTCATAAACTCGAGTGCGTGAATGTGACTTGAAAATAAGTAACCATAATAGTGTAAATTACTGGTGGAGAAAACATTGTTAAGTTACCGAAGGATCTACAACGAACAATAATTTGGATTACTACGAAATTTAAATAATTATCAGAGACAATTGTGAGTAAACATATAAATCAGACCAAAAGTAATTTTCAATCAAACTTCAATCAATTGTGACTCAATTTTCAATCTATTCTCAAATAAAGTCAAAATATAAATAGAAACTCTCCAGGGGAAAGTTCAGATTCATAAATAATTTCACATAAACTTTAACAATTGTATAAACTCCGATTGACAAGGAATAGAAATAAATGTTTCTTTTGAGCATAACCATAACCCGGAATCTTTAGTTCAATTTCTTCTCATCCTAGAATCCCTGGAATTCCCTCTAATCAATTGTCAGTCAAACCGCAGTCAATTCTCAATCATTTATTAATCAAGTTTCACTCAAATAGATTTCAGTCAATTACCAGTCAAACTTCAATCAATTCTCAATCATTTTTCAATCAATTTACAATCAGATTTCAATCAGATCTCAATCAACTATTAATCTATTGTCAGCCAACAAGTTGGAATCAATTAGAAAACAAGGGAAGAGTTATAAACGAAACTTAGCGTCGTCCAAATAAAATAAAATGACAGTAAAATATCCAATTAAATTTCTCATCCGGAACTTTAATTATTAATCATTTTACGTACAGAATTCTACCCCCTGTTACCGGAATTCACCCTAATTCATAAAGTTGTCCTTCGACGCTGATAACGTCTCCGGACAGAACACACCATTGAATCCAATGACAATTGGCCAAATTCGAGAGGTGAAAATATGATAAGTTTTAGGGGGGAAACCCCCCCCCCCTTCTTGTTTTTGATGTCTTTCTCTTTAAAGAAAATCATACCAAAAAATAAGTAATACTTGACTTCCTTTCTTTGCTTATCTCCAGTGAAGATAAATGTCTGAGCAATGGAAGTTTCAATGGGAACAACATTGAATCCTAGGACAGATGGTCCAATTCGATGGGTGAAAATGTAACAAGTTGTACGGGGAAAACTCACTTCTTGTTTTTGATGTCTTTAAAGAAAATCATAACAAAGGATAAATAATATTTGACTTCATTTCTTTGCATGTCTCCAGTTAAGATGAATGTCAAATTGATCGATACATGATTATTTTCGGAAATTCGGGACTGCGCGGAACTGAGCAATGGAAGTTTCAATGGGAACACCATTGAATCCTATGACAATTGGCCAAATTCGATAGGTGAAAATGTAATAAGTTTTAGGGGGAAACCTCTCACTTCTTGTTTTTGATGTGTTTCTCTTTAAAGAAATCATAACAAATGATGAATAATATTTGACTCCATTTCTTTGCGTGTCTCCAGTTAAGATGAATGTCAAATTAATCAATACATGATTATTTTCGGAAATTCGGACTGCGCGCAACTGAGCAATGGAAGTTTCAATGGGAATACCCTTGAATCCTATGACAATTGATCAAATTCGATAGGTGAAAATGTAATAAGTTTTAGGGGAAAACCGCCCCCCCTTCTTGTTTTTGATGTCTTTCTCTTAAAAAAAAATCATAACAAAAGGTAAATAATATTTGACTCCATTTTTTTGCGTGTCTCCAGTTAAGATGAATGTCAAATTAATCAATAACTTGATTATTTTCGAACATTGGGGACTGCGCGCAACTGAGCAATGGACGTTTCAATGGGAACACCATTGAATCCTATGACAATTGGCCAAATTCGATAGGTGAAATGTAATAAGTTTTACGGGGGCAACCCCTCACTTCTTGTTTTTGATGTCTTTCTCTTTAAAGAAAATCACATTAAAAGATAAATAATATTTGACTTCATTTTATTGCGTATCTGCAGTGAAGATGAATGTCAAATTAATCAGAACATGATTATTTTCGAAGAATGGGGACTGCGCGGAGCTGTGCAATGGAAGTTTCAATGGAAACACCATTGAATCCTATGACAATTGGCCCAATTCGATAGGTGAAAATGTAATAAGTAATAAGTTTTAGGAGGAAAGCCCTCGCTTTTTGTTTCTGATGTCTTTCCCTTTAAAGAAAATCATAACAAAAGATAAATAATATTCGACTCCATTTTTTGGCGTGTCTCCAGTTAAGATGAATGTCAAATTAATCAATACATGATTATTTTCGGAAATTCGGGACTGCGCGCTACTGAGCAATGGAAGTTTCAATGGGAACACCATTGAATCCTATGACAATTGGCCCAATTCGATGGGTTAAAATGTAATGAGTTTTAGGGGGAAAACTCCTCACTTCTTGTTTTTGATGTCTTTAAAGAAATTCATAACAAAGGATAAATAATATTTGACTTCATTTCTTTGCGTATCTCCAGTGAAGATGAATGTCAAATTAATCTACGTCACTACGTGATTATTTTCGAACATTGGTGACTGCGCGGAATTGAGCAATGGAAGTTTCAGTGGGAACACCATTGAATCCTATGATAATTGGGTGAATTTGATGGGTAAGAAACATAATAAGTTTTAGGGGGAAAATTCGCTTTTTTTCTAGTTTGATGTCTTACTCTTTAAAGAAAATCACAGCAGAAGATGAATAATATTTGACTTCATTTCTTTGCGTCTCTCCAGTTAAGATGAATGTCAAATCAATTAATACATAACCATTCTCAAAAATTGGTAATTGACGATGAACTGATTAATGAAATCTCTAATCAGAACACCATTGGATCCTATGACAATTGGGTAAATTTAATGGGTAAACAAATAATAAGTTTACGGGGAAAACCCGATTATTTCATGGACGTGAAACTAGCGACTCGATTTAGGTAAACCTAGAGGTGCACGAATATTTCTAATTGTACACAAATAACGCGACAGTTAGATTAACCCGAAAATTAACGGTCAAATAAACCGTACTTATGGGTGACATCAAACGTAATTATCGGTAAATTTTACCGACTACACGATTAAATTAACCGTCGCGAAGGGTTAATTGATTTCTAATTGCCGTTAATTTAACCATTCTCAAAGATAAATCAACCTTACAGTTCGTTCAAAATTCCTTAGATAGGAATACCCAAAAATTTTCCCGTAATGGAATGAGGTTATTTCAACCGCAACTTTTACGGTTAAATTAACCGCGAACAACGTGTGGTTTACCCCAAAAGTCGGGGTAATTTAACCGTTAACAAGTTTTCGATTTTTTATGGTTAAATTAACCGTGAGTACGTTTAAATTAACCACTGCAACGGTTAATTTAACTGTATCGTTTTTTGGGTTTGCGTACAAACTCATTGTCCCTTACAATAATTTGTACAAATGCTTGTTTGAACCTTACACCCTTAGACTCCTCTGGAACGAATATTCCGTTGGAAAATTTTCCGCTAGTTTCACCTCCATGATTACTTCTTGTTTGACGTATTTCTCTTTGAACAAAATCATAACAAAAGATGAATATTATCTTACCTCGTGTTTTCCATGTATGGCTAGGTCAAGTGAACGTTTGATTAATGGATATATAATTATTCCCAAAAATAGGGAATTCACGAAGAACTGAGCGATGGACGTTTCAACGGGGACGCCATTAAATCCAACATTAATTGGGGTTATTTGATAGGTAAAAACATAATAAGTTTCAGGGAGGAAAACCCCCTTATTTCTTGTTCTATGCCTTTCTCTTTGAACGATATCATAACCGAAGATGAATAATATTTTACTTTTTTTTCTTTGTGTGTATGCAGTTAAGATGAATGTCCGATACAAGATTATTCTCGAAGATTGAAATTTCACGAGAAAATGAGGTATGGAAGTTCCAATGAAAATACCATTGAATTCTATAACAATTGGATACATTTGCTGGGTAATAATATGATAAGTTTTAAGGGAAAACCCCCTTGCCGGGCTTTACTATGCTATCTAGGACAATTCTCCAGCAGTTCAAACTCCAATATTTGAAATTTTTGAAAAGAATATCTCTTCCATCGAATGAAATTTTTCAACTCAACGGATCAGGAATTTCATGATTTCGTCAATTTTATTGAAAACAAAAGAATAACTGAGAAACAACTAAACATTAAATGAAACATTAAATGGCCGTTTTTTGACGTATTAGATAGTTTTTGGTTCCTCCTCGTCCGCAGAACTCAATGATCCAGATGCACTTGAAGATCGTGATGAATTTGACGAAGACAATGCCTGTGGTTCCTTTGGACGCCTCGTGTCCTGGCCTTTCGCATTTTTATCGGTATCAGAGCCTGAGCCACTAGATGAAGAAATTTGAATTCGAGGCAGACAAACTTTTTTGTTTGTCCTTCTCAATTTACTCGGTCCGTCATTAGCCTTTCTTCTCTTCCTCTTCTTTGCTATTTCTTTAGATGTGCCGGGTTCCTCAGAAGTTTCTTTCGGCTCTGCAACAGATAGGTAGAGGGCATCAAGACGAGTATCTTGCGAATAAATCATAAAAATTGCTTGAGTAGTTAACGAGATATTCACAAAAGTATTCCCATACTACATCTCGAATATTTACGGAACTACTCTTCCGATTCTGCCTGTCCCAAGTCCCGAGCTACGATATCCGGAAAATTACATCCTACAAAATTTCAACTTTTTACTACAATCTTTTCTTGAGTTATCATCCATACAACCTTTTTGATGAAAAATAAAAAAAGAGGGCAAGAATCATCGGTTGATGAATGCAGAGAGCCTTATATTGTAATCCAATTAGATAGGTTTCATCGTGAGGAAGATTTTGAAAAAAAACAAGGATCAGTTGCAAACTTTGGATGAAATAAAAGAAGAACGATAGACGAAAGTTTGCTATATCTCGGAAACCGCTACATCGATCGAGCTCAAATGGTGCACAGATTTGGATCGCGATAGTGTCTACTTATAGCCAAAATTCGGAATTTTCACCGTCAACCGTTCGTAAATAATCGACGCAGTTCACTGTCTACTCATATAAATCCATGCGTGAAAAAATAGGCAGATACAGGCATTTTTTATAAACATTATATCTTTAAACTTCATGAAATTTTAAATCATTTGCACATAAAATTAGACATTCGAAATGAATGACGTTTACAAAGCTGCCAGTTAGAAGCAGAAGAACTCACTCTTTGGTTTGGGCTGCTTTTTTTTTATTCATATTTCCGATTTTCACGCGCAGATACGAATCAATTTTGTCCAACTCCTTTACGATCTCGTCGTCCTCGGTCCAGCCTTTGTAGGTTGTGAGGAAATATTTGTAGATGTTTGCAAATTAAAAATTCATTTTTCTGAAACCTGACGTAATTGCGACTCACTGAGAATAGATCCGTGCAAAATGGGACTGTCGGGCACTATGGAACACCACGAATTCACTGAAAGAATCCTCAGCGCAATGAAAAATATAGAAAAACAATGCAGAAACCCAGATGTCTGATTTTTGTCTACCGTCCCGTTTTCCACTGGCCACTCCTAAATAGAATTTTTGGATAACATAAAAAAGCATATGGAGGCTGGAGGTTTTTCAAAAAATCAATCATTGAAGCCTTATACATTAAATGGATGAAAAAAAAATATGATTATTATTCAATGCTGTGAGGTTTGTTTTTTGGGGAATCAATTCCGTGTCGTGCGAAAATCTGCGAAACCTCCATTACCACGTGTCCACAGCTAAATTACGATTTAATAACGATCTTACCTTATTGGCATTAATCATCTAGTATCCTGGAGGGGGTACTTTTTCTCCTGCTTCCAAGAATATCTCCAAGTCACGAACTGGTTCTTCTAAAATAAAAAAAAAAACAGGAAAACGTGGGTAAATGTTATTTTATGCTGTGAGTATATCGTTCTGGTTGAAAAAGTGACAATCTGCTCCCGGATGAGTATACTTTATGATGCTGTTATGATTGTTTTGGACTCTGATGTGACCTCCATTAAAACCTTGTTGGAGGCTCAATTAATATCCGATCAAATGTACTGATTGGACCCCCACTTATATAAAATCCCATTCAAGGTCATGTTGAATTGATTAAAACTCGGAATCAAACTCATTAATTTTGGGACAATGAACCATTGAAGCCTATGAATTAAATTGATGTTGAATGTTAATTTGAATGTTGATTAACCAACGATTCATTTCGGCAAACCGAGGATCTCGGTCAAAAGATACTATCATCATCTTCTTTCAATTTGGTCAGAAAGATAGTGAAACGATCATCTTCAGCCTTCATTGGATCAACTCCAACTGTTGTTTGTTGAGGAATCGTGAAAAAATCGAATTGTAGGAAAATGTGAAGATCTTGAGAACCATATTATCGATTACATGCGAATTAATACCAAACAATAGCGCTTATTGAAGTTTACCTTCCATCTCAAAATCAGGATTTGATGGATTACTTATGAAGAAAATCATAAGAAAAATTATCACATGCAGATATGTATCGATATATACATATACACATAGAAATATGGACTAAAAATTACGCATTCGAACTGTTCAGATCATATTCAGTCATTCTAACATAACGAATGAAAAACATAAATATTGACAGATACAATGCTTCCATCTGGAAGCAAAAATTGTAACGAAGGACGCTTGGTAGAGACCATTTCATCCTCTTGCATAGAAATGCATCGATTTCAGATATCGATGTTAATTGAAATTCATAGGGTAGCAGGACAAGAGATTTACACCTGGCAACGGCAAACTCGTGATGATAAATTCTTTACCTTTCAAGTCTTTCCAGGCTGCTATCAATTGTTCAAATTGGGTGCACGAAAACTCGTGGCACATCTTGAGGGACTCCTTAATTTCTCCAATCTGTACCTGCAGACTGTTTACCATTTTCAGAATAGGTTTATATGAAGTATTTTTCAATGCATCTATCTGCTCCTGCATGGCTCTCAGCTGTTCGAGGACTTGGGCTCGGGTTGGAGAGTCAGCTCTCGATTTTTTAGACTTCTGCATTCCTGATTTCTGAAATCCCAAACCGCTTCTCGCGTAAAGTACGATACCTCATAAAATTGTCACACCACAACAGAAGCAGAGGTTTTTGGCGAAGGATATAATTATATCTTTCGCCAATTTCTGAAAACTCTGCTTCTCTTTTGGTATGGTCATTAGTCTTTCCTCTGAGTTTTATACGAGATGGTTGACTTTCTAAATATATTATCTCTGATACGGAATCAAAATGGAACAAGTGAAACTGGCTGACAATTACCTCTTTCTTTCTTTTCTTCTTCGGGGGCTCGGTCTTCTCTTTATTCCCATCCTCAGCACGCTGGATTCCTGGAGCGTTCTGCACAAAATGAAAGAATTCAGTTTATCAAGTAAAGAATTGCGGTAAGAGAAGCGTGGAGATATCCGTTGATCTGGACAAAATACTATACGATATCTGTAGGTACACAAACGTGTACCTATAGAGAATTCTCTCCCCGGTTTTTCAAAGGAATAATTATACGAATCATTACGGGGTCCCTCCAACTTTGCGAATTATTCAACAATTTACAATTTCTACCCTCCAACAATTATCAATGAGATGTAAAAATGATTAATTACATTCGGGATTTCTGCACTTCCATCCACGGTATAACCCTTTGGATCTGGAATTACTCCCTCCATGTGGACTGGTACCTCGGAGTTGAGAATTGAGCCAGCATCCGGAATGTCTTTCTGTCATGAATCGATAGGGTACTAACATTATTTCCTTATCTCAAGAACATATGATTAATTTGTGAGATCAGGTATTTTCTCCTTTCAAAGTTTATATCTTGGATATTTCTGTGATTGTTATAATTTACTCGATGTTGGGTACATGCAAAATATATATGGTGGCATATATATGCCCACGTATATTCAACATTTATCTCGAATCGTCCACTTTATGCTGAAACGTATGCAAATCTTAAGATATAATTGATCCATTAATATACATATATCTTTCCCATGACAGAGATGAACCAATGGATTTTTATGGATGCTAATCAAACAATTGAGTTAAAACAAAAAACTTTGATGACTATGCATTCCTCAAATTTTTACGAAACCAGGAGTGATTGAAATCCTACACTGCAAATTAATATATCCGTAACTAATATGGAAGACTAATTCAGTATCACGTACGTATTCTCCCCTTTATCAACATGGCTGTCAGCAACTACAACCAAATCGGGCTCCAACGGGTCAACAACTTGCTCAGTGATTGAGTTCTCCTCCTTACCATCACTAGATTCCGATTCCTGCGTGTCCTTGAAATGTTATAAAAAGCTATCATTTCGATTTGCAAAATTAAATTGTTTTTTCCTGATCCCAGAATAGATGAACAATCGGCTCTCACCGTATTCCCTCGACAAGTCTCTTCACTTTGTAAATTCTCAGAGTTATTAACCTTCATAGGAGAAATAAGAACGCGCAGTACCTGTGCATCGAAATAACAAAGATTATCACGCGTACCGGATAAAATATTGGTGTAAGGAGTACAGATATCCAAGGATTTCACTCACGTTGAAACTTGAAATGGTCGGAGCACTAGTTTTGACTAGTTCATTCTCAATCACATTGTTTTCCTTGTCATCCTCTCCATCAGATACATTAACGGTTTGTTGTTCATCAATATGCAGATTCTTCCCCTTCAATTTCTAAATATTCACAATGTTAATCTCAAGTTTAACAATTATAAGAAACAATATTCCAGCGGAAATACCGCTGCAACGTCGTTCTACCCACAAGCATAAAAATGGTATATTTGCATAGTAGTATGAGAAAGTCGTTTTGACAAATGTGATATTCACTTGCCTGCTCATGGTCTTTTTTCAATTCAGCCAATTGTTTGGATAAATCCATATCCACTTGACTCTGCATTGTACTTTTTGATCTCAGAATACTTGAATTTTCTATGTCTGATGTATCAGTGGTCGTAGATGCTGAGTGTGTTCTGCGCAAAGAGTAGATTCGTAGTCTTCCATTTTTTATTTCTTCTTCCATTCCTTCTTTAGACTCTACATAAAATTTCGATATTTATTGCGCTGATCTTGAACTCTTAACAGGTGTCCGATTTATTTAGACACTGAAAACTCCGTTCAGGATATGCAATAATTGATTAGAATATCTAACAATTAACTTTAGGATTCTCTAGAAACGGATATATGGGTTTTCATCGAACTTAGTTGTGATTAGACTCCGGTCAACATTGAGGTTAACCAAGTGCTCCTGTTGTTTTTTAGTGTAATATATGAACAATCGAAATTTTCATTAATTACCCCAGTGGAATGAATTAGCAGATTCATTTGGAATTCCATTTCCCTTCCCTGAATAAGATCCTTCTTACGCTATGCCGCGGTTAGATTGCCCATGAACTCCCAATTAACTTTTGACAGATACTCTTCTTACCTGAGACTTTGGGTATACATATCTCCTCTTTCGTTGATCTCAATTTGTAACGTTTATCAAGTTGCCAACAGTTGAAGTAAAATTTCGAAATATTGCTCGTTTCCACAACTGCCCATTGCCCTGATTGGACATATTTCACTGCAGCATACCCCTCCATTCTGCAGTCTAGAGAACATTATTATGAATGAGCTTACTTACTCTACATATCACATAAACGAAATCTTTCTGGTTCAAAAACCACGGTACTAAATCGAAGAAAATCGTAATTCTAATATGCACGATAATGAGACGCAAAGACAAGTATCAGTTTCCATTAAAACAACCACGATATTGAATACCAAGAACATGGTATTGAATGTACTCAGATTTACTGATAAAAGTCCTCAACTCTGATACTTTTGAGTGGTGAAAACGAAAATCTATGATTCATAAAATAAGGACATTGGGGTTTTCCAGTAACATCTGTCTCTCCTTCAATTACGGTTTTATTTGTTTATTACGGTTCGACCTCATGAACCCGATTTCTCTTCCCGTCTCGATCACATGACTGTTGTTTCCCCAATGGTTCTTATTTTAATAACCTAATATTCCTTTCTTTGAGAACCCGAAGTCCTTTGGAATTTGAAAAATAAGAGAAAATGTGGCTTCATTCAAGTGTTATGGCGGGTGACATTCGATGAAATTAGTGATAGCTAGAACTTTTCTATCGGATTCTGAGGGAAAATTCTCATTGTCGATGTGAGTATTCCACTGGAATAGAGAAATTGTTACGAGAACCCAAAAGCTTACTTTCTCAGCTATGATAATTGTAGATGCTAGTATTGCAAAGAGAAATGTGCATATACTAGTTCACATATTACGGTCACTAATGTATTATCTGTTAATTTAAAAAGAGACGGCTGCACAACTGCATATCCACACGCAACGTCCGTGAAATGTTAGTTCAACGAACCCATTTGCAAGAGATCCAAAAACGAACGATTAGATAGACAGTTCACTAGAACAACATGAAAAAATAAGGGTCAACAAAGTATAGGAATTGAAGGCACTTCGACGATGGGCAGATATTACAGTCTGTGACCGGAATGGTTTATTGCAAATTATTTATATGACAATTCTTCGTTTGTTATAATGTATGGGACATACCCTGGCAAGTCGCGAGATTCTGAATTTCATGGTGTCCGATTTGAGACAGGGTAAACTTGAATCAACCCTGTGTTTAAACTCAAATTTCGACATTTGTCTCTTTGAATGCAATTTTTTACTCCCGGTAATTAGTTCCACGAAGTTGTCTATTTTTGATTAATGATGATTATTCATTAAAAAAAGAAAAAACGTGACACATCATCACTGGATGTCACAGGGAGATTTTTCGATACATAACCATTAAATTTAAAATCAGAGTTTTTTCCGAGTGTAATGCGAATCTTTAGTTATTCATGTGTATGTACATGTTTTAGAATGTCATTGCATCTTCACGTTTGGTGTTAAATCATGCAGAATTGAAGTTTCCCCGCCCCGGAATGGAAGTGAAATTTATTCATTGAATTTTCATCATATCTATATTTAAGTTTAGATTTATTTCGATTTCATCTGGGAAAGGAAAATTCGTGCTCATTATTTACAAAGGTAGGAACATGGCGACAAAAATCGACGCCGGAAATAAATTTTTATAGTATATTACGTTGCAAGGGCAGTAACTCGGTGATTACTGACCGAGCGACGCATGCAGTTTTTCTTTGCAGGTACATGTAATCACAGCGTTAGGGTTCTACCGGGTGACGTGTAATCTAGTAAACGCTAACGCTGTAATTACACGCACGTGCAATGAAAAGTGATATGATAGTGACGTACGTGGGCTTACGCACGCGAAAGGGCAATGCGTGTGCACGCCTATTCAGTGGCGCTACTATACTATACAGCAATTCTGCGTATTTGTGGAATGCTAGAAATCGAAAATATTATTTTTGTATTCGTCGGAAAGGAAAAAATGATTCCAAGCGGGTGAATATGAATTGAATTCATACGTTGAATTGGCACATTGAATATACGTCCCCAAAAATGAATAAAATCTCATAAAGAACAACAGATAATGAATTCACTCTTTCTTTGAAACTGAGTGCTCATCGGACCCCTGCATTTCGTATCTTATTTCTCATTGGAAAAAATAACAATCATTGAACCGCTGTTTGTCAAACAGTTCTATCATATATTTTTCTTTGAAAAAAAAAATAGAATGAGACCTAGAAAATCTTGGAAAATCATGAGGAATTCCGCTTTGAGATCCAGTGATGCGCCAGGTGCCAACTCATCTAAGGGCATGAGAAGATTATTTCAATGAGATTTATTGAAACAGAACATCAACTTTTCCGAATCAATCAAAGTTTTGTGCTCTCCACTGTCTGCGTCACATTGGGTGAATAACAAATGTTGTCCTCTGAATCTTCATAAAAAGTAGAAATTTTTTGTTTTGTCAATTTGCTACGCAAATCGTCTTCGTAATTTTAAAATTGCGTCAAAAAGTAAATATTTCGAAATTTAATTTTGGTTGAATGATTTTGATTTGAAAAATTTTGAAATACGGCATTTTCTGTTTAACTGATTGAGGTCATTAGAATTATACGGTCACGTTTTTTTGACTTGGTAGGCGCCTCCCTTCTCAGTCACCAAACATGGTTTATTCCATTGGAAAAGTTTCTGCACGACGTCTCGAGTACGATCGAGGCGTATCATATATTTAATTGATTGTAATTTTCAAAAAAAAATTGCATAAATAACTTTAAATCTATTAGAGATACCGAAAATGGCATAGGAACCTTCGTTATAGAGAGTCGCAAACAAAAAATCCGAATGAAAATTTCGCTATGTCAGATAGTTACCGAAATATCCTATATAATTGACTCATCCCTTCCATGACCCAACCACCGAATGGATTCATCAATTAATCACCATAAGCCTTGATCCTTCATGAAATAATGAATGGACTTGGCATACTTGTAATTATAGGATTTAGATTTGTATTGGAGCTGCACCACGTTTTTTTGCTTTCTTTTGTGAACAACTTTTTAAAAAACACCTCACTATGCAGACCGCAGCAGCGATTTGTTGCCTCTCTGCGAAATTAGCACAGACACTATAAAAATTATCCCCTCTTTCACTCCACAAGACACTGAATCCTCTATTCACCCTAAAGAATTCCTCGTTCCAGTTTTTTATTCCACCGAAAAATCCATGAATTTTAATTTTCTCTTCCCGATGGATCAACACTCCATTGTACCTTGGCCGACCGCAGCAGACCTTTTTTGGTAAAGAAATAATCATTAAAAAAAAACAGAAGAAACTTCACGCACTGCTTGCCATATAAAATCGTAATTTTCACTATTAAAAAATCAATTAAAAGCCATTTCATTTAGATATAAAATTCCATTGTGTCCATCTGGAACATATGAGAAATTGACTGGCGAGGCGAAATGAATAATAAGAAGACGTCAGTAAGAACAAAATAGAGAAAAAGAGGTATGACAATAGTGAGTGGCTTAGTACTCATAGCTGGATGATAATGTAATAGTTAAGAATGATGGAGCCTCAGTGATAAGCTTGCTTACAATACTATTTTTAACGAACTCAAAAAAATTAACACAAACAATGTGAAACCATTCCCGGAAAACCTAACGAGAACCCATGAGTAGCGAAGACTGGCGTTTTCCAGAAAATAAAAATGAAGAAAAAGGACTTCAAAGTACGTCCCACGAAGTATATCGAAGTATAAGTGGTAACAGTCTATGAGAACCTGGCAAGTGCATAGATATCCAGAGACGCGACAAGATTAATTAAATATGATCCTTTATTGAATATGAATATAATCGTCGATATAGGAAGAGTATACGACGATTTAAAAAAAAAATGGTCCTAATGTGTATTTTATAGTTTTTTTTGTATGAGAGCATGCCGTCATTTTTTTCATCCTTCTAACGCGGCCGTATAGTCATGATCGCAACTTAGTGTCATAATAGTACATTTCGATACTAGGGCGTGGAGAACATTTCTGGCGAATATGAGGTTACAGAACGAGCCTTCGGCTCATGAGAGAAGTCCACATAACGCGCTTACTGACGTCAACCGAAAAGTGGAAAAAAGTAAACTCTCGCCAAAAAAAAAATTGAATAACTGTAAATAGTGAACAGCCATAGAAACATTGACCAAAAAAAATGAAGGAAATGAATACTGAGCCCTTCGATTGTAATATTTCTGGAAAAACATTTAATCCTCCATTGAAAATTCTGGGAAAAAACCTTCAGCATAAAAATATCCATTGTTATTGATAAATTTTTTTCACATGGCCAAAAAATATTATATGAAAAAATATGGACCAAAAATCTCATATACCTCAGAGACTCAGAGAGAACTAAGACGTTTATTTTTCGTAAACATGGGTGACCTCGGACGAAGCAATGCACGAATCATACAAGGAA